TAGTGAAAATGAATGAACTGCAGTTGCGTGCATTGACATGGGTGAGTCTCAAATACCATACTGAGCAAAGGAAGCAAGCACCAAAGAATAAGTGCAGAAATATTTCATCAATATAAAGCTCAAGCACAGGGCACACTAAACAATATAGTGTTAGTGGATTCGTCACAAGGGATAAACCTATAAGGAAAAACAAAGGGATGAAACACACGATTAGGGACGGTATGGGAAGGAGGTCTAGGGCGAGGAAAACGGGCTTCTGTGGCACTAGTAACATCCTATTTAATAAACTTGGTAGGGGGCACATAGGTGTGTGTTTATTACTCTTTAAACTGTACAAATATATTTTATATATTTTATCTATATCTATTTTAAAATTAAAATGTATCAAATAAATGAATTAGATCACCCTTGGAGGCACTTCTGATTTTGAAATTTTCATAAAATCTAATCTCATCTGAAAAGTTGAAAATCAGCAGAACTATATGGCAGAATGCTAGGCTTTCAGATCTGAACGTGCCCCTCTGTTACTACCTCCCGCCCTCATTCTACAAATGAGCTCCAGAAAGTGAAATCAATTTCTCAAGTTGCAGAACAGGACTAGGGACAAAGGTCCAGTAAGCCCTGAAACCCCGTGCTTTCCTCTCACGTGTGGCTAGGGCTGAGTAGCAATCTTCTATTTACAGTGAGCATTCATTCTGTATTTTCCCAGTTCTTTTTTTTTTCAATTGGTTATTTTTAGTTATATGTAACAATAGGATTCATTTTGACATAATTGTAAAAGCATGGAATATAATTTGTTCTAATTCAGTCCCCAGTACTTCCCCTTCCCCTCCCCTTCTCCTTCCCCATGTTCCCTTCCCTCCACTCTACTGATCTTTCTGCTATACACTTATAGTTTTTTTTTTATTATTATTGTCTTATGAATGTACTCGATGATGAGATTCAATGTGGTGTATTCATATATGTACATAGAAAAACAAGGTCGGGTCATTCCACTGTCTTTCTCTATCCCACCCCTCCTCCCTACTTTTCCTCCTCCTTTGTCTACTCCACTGATCTTTCTTCTATTCTTTTTTTTACCCACCCACCCCCCCCCCATTATTTTGGATTAGCTTCTGCATATCAGAGAACATATTCCACCTTTGACTCCCTTATTTCACTTAGTATGATAGTCTCCAGTTCCATCCGTTTACTGACGCGTGCCATAAAGTCATTCCACTTTATGGCTGAGTAATGCTCCATTGTGTGTAGACATACCACATTTTCTTTATTCATTCATCTGTTGAAGGACACCTAGGTTGGCTCCATAGCTTGGCTATTGGTAATTGTGCTGCTAAAAACATTGATATGGCTGGGACACTGTAGTGTGTAGATTTTAAATATTTTGGATATATACCTAGGAGTGGGATAGCTGGGACATATATTGGTACCAGTCCTAGTTTTTTGAGGAATCTCTACACTGCTTTCCCGAGTGGTTGCACTAATTTTCAGTCCCACCAACAATGTATGAGCGTACCCTTTCCCCGACATTGTATTTTAGATAATTGCCATTATGACTGTAGTGAGATGAAATCTCAATGTAGTTTTAATTTGCATTTCTCTAATTGCTAGAGGTGTTGAACTTTTTTTTTCATATATTTGTTGACCATTCATATTTCTTCTTTTGAGAAGTGTCTGTTTAATTTCTTTGCACATTTATCAATTGGGTTGGATTTTTGTTTTTGTTTTTTTGACGTTAACTTTTTTGAGTTCTTTGCATATCCTGGATATTAATGCCCTAAGGAACAGGTGGCAAAGATTTTTCTCCCATTCTGGAGGCTCTCTGTTCATACTCTTAATTGTTTCCTTTGCTGTGCAGAAGCTTTTTAATTTGATGCCATCCCATTTATTGATTTTTTTTTAAATTTTACTTCTTGTGCTTTAGTAGTCTTGTTAAGAAAGTTGATTCCTGAGTTGACTTATTGGAGTATTGGGACTACATTTTCTTCTAGCAGTCGTAGGGTTTCTGGTCTAATTTCTAGGTCTTTGGTCCACTTTGAGTTGATTTATGTACAGAGTGAGAGATAGGAGTTAAATTTCATTCTACTACATATGAATTTCCAGTTTTCCCAGCACCATTTGTTAAAAAGGCTATCTTTTCTCCAATGTATATTTTTGGCACCTTTGTCTAATATCAGATAACTGTGTTTATGGGGCATTTTCTGTCTTCTATTCCATTCCATTGATCTTCCTGCCAGTTTTGGTGCCAATACCATGCTGTTTTAACTTTGCACAATCTTTCCTATTGTCCAACCATAGTATTTACTTTTGTTTTATTTAATTAATAGACTTTTTTTTGATTCACAGAATAATGACTGGCCTGGATACACTAGTTCTGTTAAATCTATATTGCTAACCTTCTTCATGACCTTCCTGTTATTTGAACATCCATCTCTGCTCAGCCTCAAACACATCTGTCATGCTCATACTGCTTGCTACATACCTTTTATCCCTGTATTCTCCACTGTATTTCCAGGAACCCCTGAGACTCTTATCAACCGTGACATCCTTTTTACCAAAAGCTTCCTCCTTCAGCTCCTTGGGGGGGAAATGGAGGAATTGGTCGTTCCAAGTTTTCTTGTGGCCTCCTGGTTTTCTGTACTGGGAGAGGTAGCTCTGAGGGTGGAGTTAGCTGGGAAAACAAAGGGGAGAAAAGAAGGGAAAAAACAGGAACTATTTCCAATGAGGTCGTAGGCCAGGATCCAACTAATTCCACGAAGCAATTGATCCGCCACCTGCACACCCAGGACAGCCTGTACTCTGGCTTAGTCTGCTCTGGGGACTAGGCATTGTTTGATATGATGAATTCTCATGATGCCTGGTGGAAGATGAGCCCTCCCCCACCTCCTGTCACCACTGTCCCCACCATGGCCCTGCCTCTTCACAGGGGTGGCTTGGGGGCCACAAGCAAGACTCCACAGTGAATTTAAAATGTTCAGACACACAGTACACCCTGAGGAAGTCCTTCTCATGGACTCACAGGAGGTCAGCTGTGAAGGAAAAGCTCAGCCTCTTCATTTTGCACAGAAGTGAATGGAGGCCCCAGGGAAAGAAGGACCGCATTCACTGCCTTCCGGAGACTTATGGCAGTGATGAGCCTGGAGTCCAGAGGTCTGATCCCCATCTCCAACTGTCCTGCTGTGATTTCTGGAGCCACCTCTCTCTCCCTCACCCTGGCCCTTTAAGCCTTCCTCTAACCTACAGAGGTGAATAAACACTTGCGAAATATTTCTGGCGTTCACCTGGGAAATCTTTCCTGTTTTTATTCTGGCTTCTTCTGCAGAACAACTTTCCCAGTCAATGATGACGTGTTATTTGCTGGGGTGATTTTGTCTGATTCCAGGCTGGTTCCTCAGATCTTCGGGTTGGGAAACTACCTCATTGATTTCCCTCACCATTGATCCCTCCTGAAAATGTCGACGTATAGTAACCAAACCCTCAGAAAACCCATGTGAAAGACCAGAGTAACTGTTCACTAATGTGTGTGAGAGCTGTAACTCTCCCCTTGGACTAGTTTGTGTTGGCCCAGCTAACTTGTCCCCTCCCAGAGGCTATCTATGTGAAAAGCCAAGCTGCCAAGCAGTCTCCTGGTGAGGGCAGGCTAAGAACATGGGAGCTGGCCACAGGACTCAAAGAGGATTCATTTGCTTTCCCTTAGCTGCTGACCAGCCCCTTCCTGAGGGATCCATCCTCACGTTAGCTGCACAAATGCACTCCGTGAGTTGCTGTTCTTCTGTTGGCCCTGGGAGCCATTTGTTTCTATGGAAGAAACCTCACCTCTTGACATTCTGCCCATGATGTTTTGATTTCATAACTTAACTCCTTATGAGAAAATCTTATTTCCCATATGTCAAAGTCCTTTATTGGAGCTCGTTCCCACATAACTCAGTTGTTCAGACACTTATAAATCTACCTCTTCTATTATCTAACTTCTATTTATTTCTTCATAATGTCTACAAGAACATTCGAAGAGAACTTATGAAATGTCTAACAAATTCATATTATGGCTCATCAGTGCAATTGATCATTTTGGCAACAAGATGATGGGTAACATTATACCTCTCCACTTTTGTTTATGTTTGAGATTCCACCCCCCTTAAAACTAGGGATAAAACTGCTGTGGCTTCTCAGTACCCCACAAAGCCTGAACTTCTTAAATTGAATTGAGCCCTTCCTCAAACATGTCTAAAAACCCTTTTCCTGTATGACTTCCCTCTACTCCCTACAAATACCACCCCTACCCCAGTCCCTACATCACTCTTACCCACAGTATTTACTGCATGAACCTACCCCAGGGCCCATCACTCTGGGTATGTGGCATCTTTCTGTGTGATCTTTTCTCTGCATACATTTTTAGCTCTTTGCAGTTCAGGGAGTGTTTTCTCATTCATGCTGGGAACAGACCAATCCTCTGTGGCTGTGGTGAGGATAGATTAGAGACTGAACTAACCATCCCATTGCCATCAGAAGTTGTCTGCCATTTGGGATGTGGAGCATGTGGTCTCCATGCTGCTATTCACCCGGCAGCATCATGCACCTAGGAAGTAGCGGGGAGAATTTTAACTGAGTGATTCTTTTATATAATTCATGATACTACCAGCACTGCATGAGTCACAGGGCCTTAAACTTGAGTGTATTGAAAGGATTGTACCACATCCATGGTGTTGCATTAGCATTGGCTAGGCACTGTGCAGAATGCAGATGCCAGGCCCCTGCCCCAGGGAGCTTGACCAGGCCCAGGCATCTGCCTCTAAAGAAGCTCCCCCATGACTCTGATGCAGGTGGTCTGTAGGCCATACTGTAAGGCAACACTGGCCCCAAAGCCCCACGAGGCCTGTTTTGCTACCATTCTCTGGCCACTCATGACAAAATCAGATACCAGCCTTTCCCCCAGTGAGGACCTCACGCTTGCAGACCTCCCTGGACTCAACCTGCCCTTGTTTTCTCCTTGTTTCCCCAAGTGTGTGGCTGTGGCCTGGCCCAGTCGGGCTTCTTCTTCAAGAACCAGGAGTACATCTGCACCCAGGACTACCAGCAACTCTATGGCACCCGCTGTGACAGCTGCCGGGACTTCATCACAGGAGAGGTCATCTCCGCCCTGGGCCGCACCTACCACCCCAAGTGCTTCGTGTGCAGCTTGTGCAGGTCAGCAGGTGGCCAACAGGGCCTGGGCCCTTAGGCTGAGCCCCAGGGAAGGGGAAGACATGGCCATTCCCAAACAAAAGTTCTGGGGCTTACTGGGCTTATGCTAGACACCTGACCTCAAGGACTGCAAGGACGAAAGGATCTGAAGGGCCAGTGGTATTCAAACCTTTTAACAGCTGAATCCCTCCCTTCACGTGCAGTCTGATGTAAAACACTAGTTCATCCTATGGTGGAAGCAGAGTGAGAATCCGAGCTCCATATTCAGTCTCCCATTCCTATCAAAAGCTCCACCTATACCCCAAAAAACCACTAAGTACCCTGGTCCCTTGGAATACAGTTTGGAAACACAAATCTGGCTCAGGCTCCTGTGACTTAATCCACAGGTGGTACAAGGATGTCTGTTTATAGCCTTCCTCCACCACCACAGTACCATCTCCTGCTGGCAGGGTGACCCTAGTAAGGGACCCCACCTCTATACATTTCAGTTTCTCTATCAGTAATAAGGGCTCAAAACCACAGCAACATCATTTGGTTTTTGTGAAGATCAGTGAGATGCTGAATGCAAAGACCTTAGCTCAGTAACTGGTGCATAGTGTGTCTGTTATTATTCTTCTCATTGTCATGATAACCATCTAGCCTCTCTCAAGACCTCTCCAAAGATGGAGAGCACCTCCCTGCCCCCTTCTCCACCCCAGCATCTCAGTCACTTGTTAATCTAGCAAAGGTACATTAAGAGTCTACTGTATGCCAAGCACCACATTAAGGAGATGAAAAAAAATAAAGAAAAACCTCAATCCTGCCCACAAATACATTAAAATTTAATGGACATCTCTGATTAAGTAATAAGTAAAGCATGATTGAAGTATATCTGCATTTTTAGTTGGGAAAAGAATTTATAGATTGATTATTATTCTCAAAAAAAAAAAAATAGCCACTGGTTAGTTATCAGCTAGAGGAATTAACCAATTGGAGTTTCTGATTGAGATTAATGGGAGACTATGTAAGAAAATATAATCAGTCAATTAAATTCATTCATTCATCTATCTCTTAGGACCTGAGCCCTGCGTTCTAGGATTCCAGACCCATCAGAGGTCAGCACAGAGGATCCATATAGCACAAGGCGAAGTTTAACACTGTGTCTTTCTACCATGAGTTAGTGGCTAGGCCACAGTGAGAGCATGGCTCCCCAGCCTCCTGCCCAGCATCCCCTGCATTGTCCCACACTGCAAATACAAGGACAGGGGAAATGCTGGAAGCCTTTGCCAGGGTTTATGCTTACAGATCCTAGGACAGATGTCCCAAACTGTAGGAGAAGCAAGAAGAGCCAAGCAAGGCAACTGACAGTGTGGGAATCCTGTATATGGCTGATAATTTTTTGGGGGAGGCAGGATCTATATGAGCTTGAGTCTGGGCTGAGCAAACTGAGCAAATACAGAGTAGGAGGGGAAAGGGTTATTTGGGGACTTATAAACTCCCCATTGGGGTAGAAGATTTTGAGAAATGTCTGGATAGTGAAAGGAAGAAATTTCAGTAAGTTCAGAAATTGAATTATTTTGTTTTCATATGGGGGAGGTCAAGTGGTGATGGAAAAGTATCCTTCCAGGAAGAAGAACCACTCCGTGAGGAGTTAGTAGCCTCTTCCCCTTAAAATTGAAACATGTAAGCCCAGATAAGCAGCATGATTTGTCCAGTGTCAAATCATATGAATGGCTCTTGGGGACCTCCAGTTCTGACCTCCAGGACCCTCACTGAGTGGTTTAGTCAGCCTGTCACTGTGAACAGCATTTGAATTTGCCTGGTGCTCTAGAAAGACAAGCTGCATGTGTTCATACATTGCTGTGAGCATGTGTGTTATCAGGTCACCAATAGTCACAAAATCTCAGGAGAGGAAGCATTGACTTTCTTCCTTGTCCCCCTTGCAGGAAGCCGTTCCCCATTGGAGACAAGGTGACCTTCAGTGGTAAAGAATGTGTGTGCCAGACCTGCTCCCAGTCTATGACCAGCAGTAAGCCCATCAAGATCCGCGGACCAAGCCGTGAGTCCTCCCCACTGGGCACCTCCTCTTCAGGGGCGCACCTCCACAGGTTCTTCGGTTCAGTCACTGTCCACCACTCCCACAGGCCTAAAAGGAAGCAGGGGAGGTTCCCACCCTGGAAATTCCTAAGTGTGACCCAGTTGGCAGAGAGCCCAGACAGACACACAGCTCTACGAACATACTGCAGGGAAGACGGGCTGCCCAACTGGAAACTCTGATGGCCAGTGCCACTTCATCAGTCACTTGGGTGGCTCTCTTCTGGGACAAGCTAGGTACCTGCTCTTATGTCCCAGTGACACTGTGACAGCGTTGATCAAGTCTTTTGTCACCAGTGGTCCTCAATTTTTACAAACTCCACAAAGAAAAAATTTTCAGACATGTCTCACAGAGGAGAGTAGGGAGTAGGGAGCACCTGGGAGCAAGCAAGAGACTGGGCTAGTGCTTTGGAGAGAATGTCCCATGGACCCCCGCCCCCTGCATCAGCTTCACTGTGAAACTTGTGAAAAATGCAAATTTCTGGGCTCACCTTGGACCTCTAGGGATGGACTGTAAGAGTCAGCCCTCTTAGTAAGCTTTCTGTGTGAGACATTTGCTATTCCTAAAATTGGGAACCATTATGTAGGGATGAGGGGCAGCTGATGTGCCATGTTATGTTTTATCACCAAACCACAGATTGGGGGGATAGTGAGGATCGAGAGTGTATCTTGGAGCATTCATCTTCCTGGTGGAAGTCCATCCTACTCAAGTGTGCCTAGCAACAAGATGTCTAAATTACCGTTCCCAGATGCCCTTGTCAGACTGCTGACTTCATATGCCTGCACACACATAGATCAGCCCCCTGGGTCTCCGTCAGCCACATTAGGCTCCAGTGTGCTTTCATGTTATATGACACTGGCTGGCCTCATGGAGAGAATCAATGAAAACCCATTAGCCTCTTGGGCTGTATCATGGTGCGGGTACAGGGGCTGCCAGACATGGCCCAGCAGAGTCAGCATGTGGGGGCTGCATCCCATCTAGGAGGGTGAGCAGAGAACACCTCAAGTCAGCAGGGTTCAGTTCCCAGGGGCTCCATTAGAGTCTGCCCAGCCATGGTCAACCAAGAGGAGGGTAGAGAATGGCTCCCTCCCTTGCTTTCCCTTCCCTTCAGTCAACTGGAACGTGTTCCCAGAATGTGCAGCAGCCTTCCTTCAGTGTCCTTGGCAATGCCCAAGAACAGTTTGCTGTTCTAACCAAGTTTCCATCTCAAGGTGGCTGAGTGTACATGCTGTTATCCTTTGTAACTCCTTGGAAACATCATCCAGAAACAGTCAGAGGCTAGGATTGCAGGTCTGTGGCCTGTGACTGATGCCACTGAGAACCCCAGAGGCCAGTGGAACAACATGCAAGGCAGTAGAGAGCAGGGCAAGCTTGAGTCAGGAGCCTGCCAACCTTCTGCATGATACAAAATCAGTCATGTCGACTTCCTGAGACTCAGTTTACCCAGCTCTGAACGAGGGATGGAATTTCTTATCACCCTCTCAGGATTGTTGTAGAAAGTGAATATATTAGTATGTAAGAATTGAGCTAACATACAACATACACTGTAGCGAGTGAAATATAAAGTGAGCACACCAAAGGAGCACTGAGATTAAGATTCCTGTTATTTCTGTCAGGTTGTGCTAATGTTTCTGTGTGCTGGGGTCTGGCCAGAGGGAGATTTCCTCAGCCAAATGTGGAGTCTCACATGTGAACTCTTTTCAAAGAGAGACTCCTAAATGTCTCTACCATAATTTTGCAGAGTAGGAGGTAGAGAAATGTGAGGGAAAGTGAGTTTGTGGACAGTTTTCAGGAGGAGCTTTTAGGATTGTAGCTTCTGTCATTATTCATCACACACACACACATCAATCCATGGATCCACATATATTTCGTAGAAGGATTTTCTCCTAGGTGGTCACTGTTCATGCTGCAAATGCCAGGGGGGCTGACTAGAGGGCATGCTGGAAGTCCTCCTGAGTTCCCAAAGAAGAGAGGAGAGCCAAGAGATCAGCCAGGTCTGAGAGATTGCCAAGAAGAACATATCATGGAAAAGGCAAAAGAACCTGTTTTCTGTTGTTTTTGTTCCTTAAGCTACAGCAGTGTGGAGTTTTTATCTTTGGAGGGTAAATAGAGATATTCTTGAAAAACAGGAGCAGTGTTTGCTCAAAAAAGATCAAGAAGAATACTCAGGAACTGTCAAGAAGAAAGAATCATGTTACTTATCAGAGGAAAAAGAAACGTCTCCTCAGATCTCACAGAGAAGAATCAGCAGCAGTTACAGCATCAGCATCACCACCATCACCACCATTACCACCATCACCACCATCATTACCACCATCACTTAATACCACCACCATCACCACTACTCCACCATCACTAACACCATCACTTAACACCACTACTACCATTACCACCACCATCACTTAACACCACCACCATCACCACCATCACTACCATCACCACCACCATCACTGAATACCACCACCATCACCACCACTACCATCACCACCACCATCACTTAATACCACACCATCACCACCATCACTACCATAACCACCACCATCACTTAACACCACCACCATCACCACCATCACTACCATAACCACCACCATCACTTAATACCACACCATCACCACCACTACCATCACCACCACCATCACTTAACACCACCACTACTACCATTATCACCATCACCACCATCACTACCATCATCACCATAACTAACATTAGCATCAGTGTCACCTTCATTATTACCACCATCACCATCACATCATTATCACCATCATTTGTAGCATCACATCACTGCTTATCACTACCAACTCCCCCATCACTATCAATGCCAGTATCACCATCAGCATTGATTATTACCATTGTCAGGCAACTGCACTAAATATGCTACACAAAAATTTTATTTAATCACTACAGATTCAAAGAGCCTAAATGGTTTCTCCAAAGTGACACAGATAATAAGACAAGAGACTAAGCAGCCTGATTCTGGAGGTATTCTGCTAACACCCTATACCAGAAACATGACTTGCTAATTGGAAGGGTTATATCTTCCTGGATTAGTTACCTAGAACAAAGTGGGTAGCTTGCTGTGACTCATAAAACCCACTTATTTTTGCTGATCTAAGTGGAATGAATGACATAGTAAACTAAACTAAAAATGGTGGCCAAAGGTCTTTAGAGGCTGCAGTAATAAACTGAGGGACTTGGGAGGAACAGGTGGAGGCATCAGACTTTCTACCAGCTAATGATCATAATTTTGGAATGGAGAGGAACATGTGAGGAGTGGACAGCTGGCTCTGCAGAAACCAACTCAGTATAGGGTGCGGTTCTCACGACTGCTTATGGCACCAGATCCATGGGCTCCCAGATGGGGTGTCTGAAGCTCCACCAGTAGTCAAGAAGGAAAGGAGGAAGAAAACCATCCAGATAAATATGAAACCAGTACAATGGAGGCCCAGCAATGAATCATGAAAAGAAACACAGAGAAGGCATCCCAGAACTAAGCAGAGCATCACTGCAGAGGAGCGTTGCCTGTAGCCTCAGATCAGAGATCAAGCATCACTTGGGATGTGGATTAAAAACAGGAGAGTGTGAAATAATACACTAACCATTTATGGATACATAATGTTACTTATACCTGCTGATCAAAAGGAAGGAATTCAGATGAGGGAAACAGGGCTCAGAGGTCAAACGACTAGATGGTTCTCACCTAGGCCAGCTTCTCACTCACTCAACCTCTCATTGAAGTGTTAACCACTGCACTGTACTGGCTCCTAAATTTTAGCTCAAGATGCTAAATTCATGTCAGATTTTCACTTTAATGCAGCAGATGGGACTCATCACTGGAAGGTGGCCATGGAACAGTGCAGCCATTAAATAAGTTTTATTGACAAAGTGGAGGACTGTTTCATTGGCCAGTAGCAGGCACTCCTCTCTGGCCTCCACAAGTGAACTAGACCAGTGATGACCATAGCAAGTGAAGCACAAGGAAGGGTACCAAGGAGCCCTACTTGTCTTTATTTGAAGGAAATGACATGTGAGGAAAAGATGATTATTCTAATTTGCATAAGAGTGGGGGAATCACTGGAGGTGGCATCAGCTCCACATAAAGACGGAATCCATGGCAGTCATACCTGTCCAAACAGAGTGGTCTTCCTCAAGAAGGGCTGAATGGCTTACCCCTGACGTGACTAAGGGGGGCGGGGGTCATTTGTCAATCATGTGACAAGTTCCTGCACTGGCTGGGATATTTGACTAAGTGCTCTGTGAATTTAAAGCCCCTATAGAATTATTAAATCCTACTGGGAAGTCTCACAGAGACAAAAATGTTCGGTCTCTGTGGCCTAGAAAGCTTGACCAGAGGCCTGCAGTGTGTGCATTGAGGTTGAGCACATCACTCATCGGGACTAGCCCCTCCTCACAGCCAGCTGGACACAGGGTCACTTCATTTTCTCTCCCACGACAGGCTCCCAGCAGGATTGAGGACTGTCCAGCCAGGCTCCCCCAACTCTACCTGTGACCCCTTTTTCCTCACTGCTACAAAGTGTGCATTTGTCGTGTGGCGCCAACAGGGCGGTTTGCCCTCTGGTAAACTTTGCCCCGTGACCCTGTCCTCCTCTAAAGCGGGCCATCCGGTCAGCTAGGCCTGAATTCCCAGCATCTCCCAAGTACCTTGGCCGCTGGCTCCATTTCCTGCCCCTCCCCTCCTCAGACATTCATTGAGCAACGAGCAGACCGCTGGGCCTGCCCCACATTCTGCTGGCCCCAACACACATTCCAGAGTGATAGTGACAGGGAGTGAGGGGACAGTTCTGGTTTGGGACAGAAGATTCATCAGACTCTAATCTTTGCTTCTTGGGAGGCAAATGTTTGCTGTATAAGCACATTGGGGAAGGGAGGGGTGGTGTGGTGACTTCTATCCTTTGCTGAGCACTGTAAGGGCCACCAGTTTGTACTTCTTCAGCAGACAGGCTTGGAGTTCCTACCATTCTCTGAGCACCATGCCAGGCGAAGGAAAAATTCACCCTCAAAACACAGATGTGGCCCATGCCACTGAGTGTACAGGCAGGAGAGAGAAAAAGAAAGCAGACTATCCCCAGAAGGGGTGCCTCTCAAACTTCACGGGGCTCAGAGATCTTGCTGAAATCCCCAGGTCTGGGTGGGGCTTGCCATGCCACATGCTGCAAGTTCCAAGAAAATAGGGATGCTGTAGGTGTCAAGATCATGGAGTGATGCACAACCTCAGTTACCAACCAGAGGAGGGAAGAAGCAGCGCAGGACCGCTGTGGATGAGCCGCAGACACAATGATAAGCAGGAAGGTCTTTTTCTCCCCTCCACCAAGTCCCCTATGGACAGGCCAGGTCTCCAGGGGCCTTTTCTCTTCCCTAGTAGGGTCTCTGGGAAGCTGCCAATGCCAAGGTGGGAAAACGTGTTGGTGAGGGGGGAGTCCTTTGCTGGGGGCATGAGTTGATGGCAGGAGGGCCAAAAATCCCAGGGCGTTTTGCTCAGCAGTGTCCTCTTGTCTTTGCAGACTGTGCAGGGTGCAAGGAGGAGATCAAGCACGGCCAGTCACTCCTGGCGCTGGACAAGCAATGGCACGTCAGCTGCTTCAAGTGCCAGACCTGCAGTGTCATCCTCACCGGGGAGTACATCAGCAAGTGGGTGTCCCTCTCCCTGCCGGTCCCTGCTTCCTGGGCCTCTGTGTCCACCGAGGCCTCCCCATCCAGCCCCTAGCTGAATCTCCAACATCACCCCTCCTCACTCCTAGCTGCCACACTTAGGCTACAAGCCTCTCTCCGCCGGCAGGCCCTCACACACTGTTCCCTCTGCCTGTGGTGGTCTGGCCCCTCTCAGCACTTGCTCCTTCTAAGCCTCCTGCTCAGAGGTGCCCTCTACGCCACGCCCCACCTCCACTCCCCCAGCCCCGGCCCTCAGACTGCTGCTTTGTTTCCTTTGCAGGGCTGCCAACATTTATAATTATATACTTATCTGTTGTAACTTTTTAATAATGTTTACAAGTCTAACTACCATTTACTGGACTTTTATTATGTGCAAGGAAGTTATTAACTGCTGTGGATGGGTTATCACATTAAACCCCCTTAACTACCCCCACAAGGGGTCTGTCTCCATGGGATACTAAGACTCAGGGGAGTAACTTACTCTAGTGGTGGTGTTTATTCCTCCCACCAGGACAGGGGCTTTGTTTAGTCACTCTGGTGTCCTCTTCCCATAGTCAATAATGCCTGACCATTGTCAATAATATAGTTATTGAATGTATTTAACTGAGATAAGAGGAGATGATGGACACATAAAGCTATTGGGACAGAGGAGCCAACCCCCAGAAAACTGCACACTGCAGCTTTGAATAAGCCCCCTTGTTGCTAGATCCTAGTGACCACATGTATATACTAAAGTACCCAAAAGCTTCTGACCCCAGATACTTTCTAGGCCCATATGTGGCCTGATGCCAGGAGATGGTGAGCATGTAGTGTTGCTGTATATATAGTTTCTGCTTTCAAGACACAGTTTAATAAGGGAGATAGGCTGTATGCATGAAGAATCAGGGTACATGAAAGGAGTTCATGAGAAATTTAAATCATAAAACATTTTCAATCATAACTGACAGAGAACCCAATTCTAACTCACTTAAAAGCAACAGGAGTTTATTAACTCACAGAAATTGAAAGTTCAGAGGCATCTGGCTTCAGGCATGGCTGCATCTAGGGACTTAAAGATGTCTACAGATCTCTCTCTCTCCCACCCCCCCCCACCCCACCCCATGTTGAATTCATTCTCAAGCAGGCCCTCCCTAAGTAGCAAAGAAAATAACCAGTAATGCCAGGTTTTTTTTCCCCTTCTATCAGCTTAGCAAGCCTAGCAGACAGAGGCCTGTTTCCCAAGACCTTCAGCAAATATCCCAGGGCTGCCTCTGATTTGGCTACCCTTGGGTCACACACCCATTTCTGATTGACCACTAGCAAGGAGGATACAATCCTAGAGCCATCAAGCAGCCTTTGTGACCTACAGTAACCTCAAGTGAAGGAGTGTCTTCCAAAGGAAAATCCTAGAACTGGTACCAACAGAAGGGGAAATGGATGGTAGCCATACAACACCTGCCTATGTCCAAGGTGCAAGTGAAGGACAGTGAACATTCAGAAAAATGAGGGCTCACTTTTAATTAGCAGGAAGTGGAGTCTGGAAACTGTGAACTTCGTGGCAGGTGATAGTCTTTGGGCTGCATGTTGGAAAAGGGTGTAAGATTTGAAAATGCACAGGAGAGTGTGCATACCTAGCCTGGCAAGACAAGACAGGTGGTGAGTGTGGAGCACCCACCCTCACCCCATTTGGGAGCTCGAGTGAGTGCAGAGATGAAGCAGAGTCCCAGGCTGCAGAGGTGAGCTGAGGTCGGGTCACCAAAAGTTCTGAGTGCATGTCAGTGGGAGTTTGGCATTTCCCTCTGGACCTGCCAAGGAAGGAGTGTCCTTAGTAAGTCATCAGCCAGGAGTGCTTGAATCTGGGAGCCCAAGTCAAAATTCTCTGGGGCAGTAAGAGCTTGCTCTGAGTTCCTCTCAAGGAGGCCCAGCCCAGGTTACCCACTACACCTGGCGCCTCTACAGTCTGCCTCTGGGTTCCTCACCTGGTTGAGACAGAGTGGTGATGGCATCAGATGCCAGAGTAGAAGCCCAGTCTGTGTGACCTAGGCCAGGGACTCAACTGCTCTGAATCTTAGCTTCTTCATTTATAAAAATAGGTTCAATAAGATCAACTCCTGGTAGGGATGTGTCAAGGCTCAGAGATCTGTACTTTGTACCTAATGAGTGCCCAATAAATCTTCATTTTACCATCTATCTTTTCAGAATCAGGGACATTTCAAGTTCCTTAAGGCCTCCCCAACTCAGGCATCCAAATAAGGTTGTGTTGGCATTTATAGCCAAATTTTTCTGGCTCATTGACCTGCCTCCTGATGAACAATTTTTGCTTCCCCTGCAAAGTAGCCCTCTTGTACTAACAGAGTGAGAACTTGTTTGAGGGCTGGGGGGTTTGAAGGAGTGGAGGAGGTTTGTCTCATAGGGTCACAAGTAAGTCCTTGCTCTGTGGGCACAGTCTCACCTCCAGTTCTTTGCCACACTTCAGCTCTCCTTGTTGCTTCTTCAGGAAGTGCTGGCTGCCCTGCTGCCCAGGCAGGGTTCCCAGAAGCCCCAGCATGGCCCCATCTTTGAGATAGAAACTTGGCATGTCTGTCCTTTATATCACACTTTGAACCAACTTCAAAAGTGGGGGAAACATCCCTCTCTCCTCAGAGTTCAGTCCACTCCTTAAAGTTAGGTAGGTCCAAAAGGCTGGGCTGAGCTCACCAGTGTCCTCAACTGTTTCTGTGTCAGCTCTGGAGAGTTGAGCACCAAACATCCTTCCCCAAATCCCCTCTAAGCAATCTTGGCAATTGCTGCCATGAGCTGAGTACCCACTGTGGGCCAGGCACCATGCTAACCCTTGGATACACTGGCCCTATCTCCTTTAATCCTCATGTAAACCTGGATGAGAAACCAGACCATCTGGATCCAGATCCCAGCTTCCTGTCATCCTGGGTGGCCTAGGACAAGTTACTCAACGACTCCCTGCTTGGGTTTCCTTGTCCACCCCTTGGGAAATAGCATTGAGCCCATGGGGCTGCCCTAAGGATTAAATGTGAAACACCACCAGAGAGCCCAGCACACACCAAGCAAGAAGTGTTAGTGGTAAGAGGTAGTGTAAGTAGTATGAGGTAGTGTAAGATAACCGATGGCAATCACCTCTGTCTGCTAAGTCCGAAGCACTGAGTAGAAATAGAGCGTGTAGGAGGCATTCAGGGGAAGCTGCTGATCTTGCAGCACAACCAGATGGTTCTTCCACTACAGGTGAGATGTTTGATCCTTAAGGATGTGCAAAACATTGATCACATCCATTACCTCCTGGAAGGAACCCTGAGAGGAACTGGAGGGAAGGTGGGGATTTCTCCCTTTATGCCTTGAGACTGTTGTGTCACATACCAATATTACCTATTCTAAATAAAACAACCCTTAGATGTTTTAAATAATTTTCAGAGTCTTTTGAGGGCTAAGGGAAGAGAATGGGTCTGGAGAACTCCTGGGGAGGGGAAGAAAGAGGGTGGAAAAGGGCCACCCTAGGCCAGCATCCAGAGCAAGAGCTGCCATCCGTGCTGGGGAGCTTACCAGATGCAATGCCTGGGCCCTCTACCCCAAGGATTCTCTGATTCCATGGTTCCAGGGGGATCTGAGGAATCTGCATTTTAAATGATCTCAAAGCACTTCCAACCCCAGCCCAGACACCTTAGGCTGCAGTTCCTGGCACTGCCAGAGGACACCCCCAGGGATCCCCCTAACCTCCTCATCCTGTGTCAATTTCTTCTTGCAGGGATGGCGTTCCATACTGCGAGTCTGACTACCACTCCCAGTTTGGCATTAAATGTGAGACCTGTGACCGATACATCAGCGGCAGGGTCTTGGAGGTGAGTGGGCCCTTGTAACCATGAAGATACGTGAGCAATATGGTCTGTGGCTCCAAAATGCCATCACCAAGGAAAGAGAAAGTCACCCCAGACCCCCTCTTTCATAGCCTAAACCTCCCCAGCTTTGCTTGCTACATGACCTTAAACAGATAACCTTGCCAAGATCTCCGAACACCCCCAGAATGATAAAGTTGACACAATTATTCCTGGTTCAAAAATTGCTGTGCTGGAAAAATCAGTAGCTTCTTTGGCTTCCGACCCAGACATATTTCTGGGGAGTAACAATTAGGATTTTCCTCTCAGCCCTGCCTAAAGATGGAAGCTTTTTTAAAAAAAAATTTTAAGTCTTTGGTAATGTGCTGATTTCAGAACCAACATGTCTAGCAGCTTGCTCCCTAAGCCCTTCTTTGGCTGGTCCATCACCATGGCAACAGTTCTCCCAGCCTCTGATGCACATTTCACTCTGCCAGTGACAGACAACCTGCAGCACCTTGCTGAGCCCTTGCCTGAGCCCCCATCCACTGGCCTTCCTGGGCCTCCTTTATATACTATGTGACCTGGAAGCTGTCTTCTCTATTCACCTTGAGAAATTAGAAGCAGAAAAGAGTTGGGTACAAAGGAAAAAATAATAGCATAAAAGAAGGAACCATTAAGATCTAATATTGACTCTACTGCTAACAACTCATATTCAGATACTGCTTACATACTCAGATTGTGGCATTAAATGAGAGATTTGTGACCTCTACATCCGCAGCAGAGTCTTGTTAGATGAGAGACCTGTGATGTTTTTCGTCTGACAATGGCTGGGCTATGGCAGACTGGGTTAGCTACTGTGAGCAGAAATACTAGTTTTGCCAGATCTGGCCAGCTGATGGTGGTTACCATGTGTGCTGAGCTGAGAAGGACTCTGTGCCACATGTGGGCTCAGCAGGAGATGGTGTGGCAATCAGAAAGAGCTCTCCAAGGAGATGCACGGAAGAGAAGCTCGAGGGTGGGAAGGCGGCACATGAGCTAGAGGAAGAATGAGTTTGACCCCTGCAGAGAACAGAGAAAGAGGCCAACATGGCTGAAATCACAAATAGAAGGTAAGGGAAGATTGAATATATCATAGAGGGCAAATCTCACAAGACTTTGTAGACCAACTTTAGGAGTTTGGGTTTTATACTAAGTGCAGTGAAAAGTCATTGGAAAGTTTTTCAACCAAGGAGCAACATAACATTATATTTTTTTAAAAGTATAATGTGGAGAATTGACTATAGGGAATCCAAGGAAATAAGATGAACAAATGCACTGAGTGGTTAAAGAATTAAGCATTTCCAAGGGTAGTAAGGAGTGCAAAGCACAGGATGCTGCTGGGCCTGGGATACAGGACCGAGGAGTTTGTGTGTGATTCAAACAATGGGGAATTGTGGAAAGATTGGGTAGGAGTGGCCTGGCTGAAGCCACACCTCCAAGAAGATAACATGATGATGTTCACTGGCTAAATTTGAAGGAAGGAAACTGAAAGAGGAGACCAACAAGGAGGCCACCGTATGACCAGGGCAACCATCTTTGTCTCCAACATCAATAGCAGTAGAATTCCAACAGTTCTGCAGTGATGGGGTAACTTGAAGATGTGGGGACTCAAAGAGAAGCCAAGAGTTGTACCAAAATATCAAGCCTGGATGATAGGAAGTCTGTTGTCTCCATCTGCCGAACTGGGGATGACAGAGAGACAAGTTGGTCTGGGCAGAAACGTGCCAAGGTCCCCTTGGGACAGGCTGTGATTGCAATCCAGGGAGGGTGCGAGAAGACAGTCCAAAATATGGATCAGAGCTCAAAAACAAAGCTCGGCCTGCAGAGGCCAATTGCAAAACAATAAAATTTAAATAATAGCACCAAGGGAGTTGTCAGTGATCTCTAGAGCAGGAGGTGGGAGCGGGGGGGCGGTGGGGCTGGAACCGGCTTTGGAGACTAGCTGGCCTACGAAGATGGAGGGGTTACCAGAGAAAGAAGAGTGATAGTCAAGGATGCGGGAAGGGAACAGTGAAAGGCCAGAACTTCAAAAAATATGGTGATGTCAATCAGAGTGTGGCCAAACTCTGTAGAGCTGTTAAGGGACATGGGGGCTGGTAAAACATTGTTGGGTGTGGAGAGAGGTGCCCTTGAGGAAGAATTGCTGGGTGCACCTGTGTGACCATGAAGAAGAGGCATCTAGGATGTAGTGGGGTCAGTGGAATGGGGCATCACAAAAGCTGGCTTTTCTTTTGAGAAGGAAAGACTTCCGATTATACACAGGATTGTGGGGGTAAGCTGTTCCAGCATTTCCCAGCTGCTTTAACATTTTATTGATGGTGCCTGTCCTTTCCCCAAGCATCACTGTTGTTTAGCATGGTGGTGATCTCTCCCTCCCAGGCAACTGCAACTGAGTTTTGATTGATTCCACTTTTACAAGGCTCCATTAGCATCTTGGGCTTATTGATTTTTTTTTTTTTGAGCTGGAAGAGACTTAGACTTGTTCAACCTCCTCACTTTACAGATGAGAAAAGTGCGACCCAAGACTTGAGGTTGCCTTTCCAAGGTCACAGGAAGCATTTCTAGTAGGGACAGAGGTAAAAATCTAGGACTTCAGGCTCCTGTTCCCACACTGATGCTCACAGCTCTAAGCTACTCAGGGAGTTTTGGGGTAGCATGATGTCAAGCCAAAAAACATGGTTGCAGTGAAACAGACTTGGATTCAGATTGTGTCACTTCTAGCCACGAAACCTTAAGAAAGTTACTTGCCCTGAATCATAGTCTTTGCCTGTCAATAGAGACTACTACTGTCATTTTATTCCTAATGGATATGTTAGGACTTGTCTGGTTACAAGTATAGAAACTATATTCAAATGGCTCAGGCTGAAAAGGAAATGAAGCCAGGAGTAACTCTTGCTGGCTTCAGGCACAGCTGGATCTAGTGCCTAAAGGAAAATACTTGAAGTCTCTGGCTATCTCAGCTCCTCTTCCTTCTACATTGACTTTGTTCTCGGGAAGGCTCTTCTTTGGGATGACAATGTTGGGCACTATTCCCTGCAGGCCTACATCCTATCAGCCAGCATTCCTCAAGGAAAGCAATCCTCTCTCCTAATAGCTTAGCAAACATCCTGGGACTGACCCTGACTGGACAATTTCAGGCCCATTGCTGAGTCAGTCATTGTGCCCATAGAATTAGAATATGCTTATTGGTGGGGTCAGCACTACTTCACCAGATGGGCTGGTGTGGGAGATAGGTAGTCCCACCAAAGAAAGTCTTGGTGCTGTTTCTGGTGCTGTTGACCCAGCAGGGCCCAGCTTATTACCGATGCACCTCAGGCACTTAATAAATTGCTTCTCCCCTTCTAATCTCAGCCCTTCCCATTCACTCCTCAGGCCATCCCATAATCCCTTCCTCAGTGACAGCTCAGTAAGACTGCTGAATGGCAGTCCCCATCCTTCCTTCCCTGTCCATGTCCTCACCATTGAGAACCAGAACCTGGGCTCGTTGCTGCATTCCTCACCTTGGTCGCCATTCTCGGTCCTTCCCAACAGGGCCCCCCTTTTTGGGTACCAACTCTCTGCCATTTTTCTTCACCATTTCCTTGATTTCGGTTGTTAACAGGCACAGTGGTCTTATCTCACTGACTTGGGTGCAGGCTGCTCTAACAGCCTCCCTTCCCTTGACTCGTTTTCTACACCCCCTGTGGCCAGGATTGCTGAGATGGGCACAGAACCTATTTCAGCTGGGGCGGAGTGGTGGGGTGTGACATTTAGAAAGATGTTACGCTTCCCTTTTGCCAAAGCACTGTTGTCATCCTGGGAAAAAGGTCTATAATTGAAATGATAAAAAGACACAGAGTAGGAAGAGGCTACTAATTAAACCTATTATCTTTGTCATGATACCAGAGAATCAGTCCCACGACTTCCCAGCTTGGGAAAACAGCAGGCTCCTGCTAAAGTTTGAATGTAGTTTGGTTGGATGATGACAAGGACATTTTCTCATTCGTGGGAGCCACATGAACAACCAAGAATGAAAAAAGAGGATGTTGGAAAATTTTTTAATTTTGTAAAAAAAAAATCTTCCCGTTTTACATTCTTGCTAGGTTTTTAGAATAAATTGAGTATCTCCAGAATAGGTAAGCCCATCCCAACAGCCCCACTCCCCAAAAAATGGTTGACAATAGGGCTTATTATGCAATTATAATTTTTGAGTTAGAAGGAACACATTAGCATCAGTTTGAGTGGTGAATTGGAAAGGAGACCTTACAACCCATATCCAACAAATATCCATCTGTTTTCCCCAGTTATTACCGATCCAAAAAAAAAAAAAGACCCTCTCTCCTGACATGCAAAATATTCCTTCCAAACAAGCCCCACTTCCCAAGTTAGTCCCTGCCCCCCCACACCATATAAAAATTGGGAGTTACTACCAAAGGGCCCTTACACATCAAGTCCTCCCAGCTGGGATGTTAGTGTCAGATGTATCGGTATGGACTGCAATATTGAGCTGGTGGCTGCTCCCACAGTCTGGTCCCAACACTACTGGCTTCCATTGAGACCTTGAGGCACAACCTTCTTGGATGCTATTTCTTACCTAATATTTAGAATGGTCCTTAAGAGGCCTTACTGACATACAAGAAAACTTACAAACATATCGGAAAACCTGTATCACTTGCCACATTCAGATAACTCCAAATTGAATATAGTGCTAGCTAGATTCTATTGCTTATAGAGGCTGCAAGCCTCACACCTGTTCTTATTCTTAAAAGAAGAGCTGAGTATGTTTTAGATAAACATTAAATATGTACTGGCACCACACTGGTACTTTGTCTTTGATAAAAATCAGAAGAATTGATAGAAGATTTAAAAGGAGATTATTTCTTTGTTGTAGTTGAATATTATCATATCTTAAGTTCATGAGTCACTTAAAGCCATTTCCAGTACCAGTAGTAGTAAAGGCCCCATGTGTGGGGAGATGCTGAGATATCCTCAAAACGAGACTGTTTCCTCCTGGAAATGAGGAGGTGGAACCAGTGGCCTCTGAAGGGCCCTTTCCCCTACAGGTTTCCATGAAAGTCCCTTGAGTCTCCATCAGGGATCCATGGAGGGAGTCACCAGCTTCCTAGGTGGACTCTCATATGGTTCTGGGTTCCCCTGGGTGGTCCTCCCAACCAACCGTGGGGCATATGGAGACACCAACAGCTGCCCTCTGGACAGTAGCCCCAGCTCTAACATCCTATTTCACCTCTTTATTTCCACAGGCTGGAGGGAAGCATTACCACCCCACCTGTGCCAGATGTGTGCGCTGCCACCAGATGTTCACAGAAGGGGAAGAGATGTACCTCACAGGTAAGCAAATCGAACCCTCTGTAGGGCATTCCAATCTGCTCATGACTGAAAAGGAGATGCAGTTGCCTTCCACTTTGATGTTATCTTAGCTGTTGGCTTGTCCTCAAAATTGCAATTAATTCGCCTCTCTCTGGGTGGATGGGAAAAGTTGCCGGTGTGGCTAATATGAAGTGACATGTAATCTGCCTTCCATCCTCGTGCGCCTCCACCCGCTGCTCAGCTGGCCTGCTTCCCTGGCAGTGCTCTGAGAAGATCCTCTGGTTCTGCCTGGGGGTGGGAGGCTGTGTTGCACAGGGCCACGGGGTCAGAGGACCTCAGAGAGATGTCTCAGTGGCAGAGAGTCTGCAGCATCACAGCCTTTACCCTCCCCCATCTCATCCCAGTCCTTCTCCCCACATCTCAGAGATCGCACCAGGCTGCTGCTTAAACCTTCTAAGGCTCTCAAAGGTCATGAAGAGAAATGGAGGACATTAACATCCCCCAAAGCAAACCAGGGCTGCTTCCCCACGGCAACCTCCCAGGGTCCGGCCTCTTGCCTAAGGATTCCTGCAACGGTCACCCAGTTGGTCTCTAGATTCTTCTCAGTCCTCCATCCTCAGCCCAGTCCGTTATCCTGGGGCATCACAATACTCTTGGCTTTGCCCCACTGAGAGGTCTTCCAAGTCCCTCCCTGCCCACCAGTTTACATACAGACTCTTCAGCCTTGCATGCTAGATCCTCTCACCAAGGTCCCAAAATAGCCTTGAACATACTCAGCACTTAGGCTGCCAAAGCCAATCTTCATTCCACTTATTCATCCCTTCAACAACTATTTCTTGAGCCCCTACCATGCACAGGCTGTGCCAGGGTCTGTTGAGATCCCCCACAGCCCTACAGTCCAGTGAGGAGATGGGCAGTTAGTTGAAATCCCAGGAGTAAAGGTCAACAGGAGTGAACTTACTAAGAACTTACTGTGTAAGAGCTGTTGGTCTTCTCCCTGAGATCCCTTGCTCCTGGCTTTAGCCCCTCAGCCCTGACATTGGCCCACCTTCCCTCACTGCACAGCTGCTAGCTGCTAGCTGAATCACTGTGATCAACCCTGCCTAGGTGTTTGAATAGCCATCTTGGAGAGGAGGGAGAGTCCCTCCTTCAGATTTCCCCAGAAGGTAGCCTTAAACCAGAGGGACATGTGTTCCTAATAAACTTGTCCTGGTCATTGCTACCCTCAGCCATGAGTTCCCTCAAGCTGTAACGAGGCCCTTGTGCCTACAGTAGAGTTTCTCAGCCTCAACACTGTTGACATTTGGGGCTGGGTAATTCTTTGGTGTGGAGACTGTCCTGTGCTCTATAAAGTATATAGTAGCATCCTTGATTTCTACCTACTAGATGCCACTAATGTGCCCCTTCCCATTGTGACAACCCAAAATGTCTTCAATATGGCCAGATGCCCTCAGGGAGGCACAATCATCCTCAATTGAGAACCCCTGGCCTGGAGCTCTTCAACAGAACCTGTGCCATCTCCTAGGAGTGCTAAAGCAGGGATTCCTGTGCTGAATTGGATGAGGGCACCATTTTTAAGATTTTGTGACTCTGTAATTACTTTTAGATACTCTCATACAGCTTTGGTGGGGGGTGTGGAAGGATCCCAGGGGCCACTCTAAATTGTAAATTGACTGCCCTCATTGTATGGATAGGGAAATAGGCCCAGAGAGAGGAAGAGATGGGTGAGAACTACAATGTGCAGGAGCAAAGCAGGACATGGCCTTGGGAGTCCCCTTCCAGGGTTCTCTCTACCTCTCCTCCTGGGACCCAGGCCCTGCTGCTACTCAAATCCCTCCTTGTTCCCATGAGCACCACTCCCTCAGTGCCTGGGTCCCCAACTGATTCTTGGTGCTGGACTCTGTATTACAAGTCCCTGCAAACAGCATGATGTCTTTGTGGGCACCATGGGGATCTGGTTATACTGCTTGCAAAATTTGTGCCTTTGGATAAGTCTCTTAACTCTCTGAACCTTGTTTACATGATCTGTAAAATAAACCAGTTATAGTCCCTGTAAGTACAGGTATAGTAAGTTCTTGACACATGGGAAGCTCCTCATTCGTTTAACAAATATCTGCTGAACCTACTGTGTGCCCAGTGCTGTTCTAACAGCTAGAGATGCAGCAGGGAGCAAGTCAGACAGCCCCTGGCTCATGGTGCTCCCAGCTAATGGATTAGTGTCTTTGCTGATCCAACTTCACACAGATGCTGAGAGGGTTAATGAACAGATCTATGATCGTGAGCAAGAAAACACCAGCAAACCTAAGGAAGAAATGCCTCCAGGAGGCAGGAGCTATTCTTGGTAGGGGAGAAGGGCCTGTCACCCTCTCATTAAATATCCCCATCCCTACCCTCCTGGCTCCTGGAGAGTGGGAGTAATTGCAGGGCATTCAAGGACCTGCCTCAGGGGGTGCTGAGTGATCTGGAATGAGGGGGTTTGGGTCATGCAGTGGTAGAGTCACGCTGACGCCAGCTGTGGGTGTCTTGTGGGGGTGGCAACCACCAGGTGTTTCTGCTACCACCAGAAGCTAGCCTTGGACACCCTAACCAGGTAGGGGCACCAGGGCTCACAATGACCTCCTTCAGAAATGGCAAGAAAGGGGGCCAGGCATGGTGGTGCACACTTGTAATCCCAGGGGCTCAGAGGGCTGAGGCAGGAGGATCACAAGTTCAAAGCCAGCCTCAGCTTTATCAAGGTCCTAAGCAACTCAGAGAGACCCTGCCTCTAAATAAATAAAATATTTTTAAAAAGAGCTGGGGATGTGGCTCACCAAGGGTCCTTGGGTTTAATTCCTAGTACCAAAAAAAAAGAAAAGAAAGAAAGAAAAGAAGAAAAAAGGGGGGAAAATGGCAAATAAAAAAAAAAAAAAGCCCTCCTCCCAGGGAGCACAGAAGTGGAAAGAGCCAGCTGAGAGCCATGACTTCCATTAATAGACTGTGACTTTGAGAAGTGACTTCCTTCTCTGGGTCTCTTCCTTCACCTGTCCAATGTAGATAATATCACAGTCTCTGGTTGATCCATTCCACCTGAGGCCACACCGTGTGGCACAGTTTCAACTGTGGGTCTGGTGCTTGGAGCTGAGCACAGTGGGCATGCCTGCTGCCCTGAGCTTACGGTCTGGAAGGAGAGATTGGCACAATCAAACGAAAGTGAAAGGTCAGGGACAATGGAAATGTGCCATCCATCTAGTCTGGGAGGCCAGGAAAAGGCTCCCCTAAAGAAGGACCATTTCACACCAAAATCTTGAAAATGAGTAGGAAGTAAGAGTGTGGAGAATGGGGGAGGTTGGAGGGAGGGAGAACAGCTGACAAAGAACCCCAGGGGAGGAAACAGGTACATAGTGGAGGAAACTGAGGCAGGTCTGAACACCTGGTGCATGGAGAGCAAGCACACACCACAGGCTCTCGTGAACATTAGCAGAAAGGATTGATGGGAAGGTGCTGAGGACCCCATAAAGCCATTCAGAACAGGGAGGAGGAAGAGAGAGAAAGAGGCTGAGACAATTCCAGAGAGAGTGTGTTCAGATGCCTACGTCAGTCAGTTCCGTAGCTGGACAGTCTGGTCCTGGCAAATCGTCCTCAGGAGATTCTTTGGTCAGTTTGTTTGCGTTTTAATTGCGGTGTGATGGCTTTCTGATGGGCTCTAATTGGGAGAAGTCTGACGTCTATCTGGAGGAGAACTTCCAGGGCCCCAAAAGACAAAAGCAAGTTTTCTTTTATTTGTTTTTTAAGTTCAGTTGCGCGTTAGTCTTTTAACTGTTTTTGTAAAGATGCCAGATTTCTAATCTGTTTGTTATCCAAACCCTTCATTTGGGCTTCATCAAGAAATTAGGTCACTGATTTTTGTGCGGCAAAATAATAGCTAAAATGTTGCAGGTTCAGGGCAAAAACTCACACTGAAATCACAAAGATTGCAGTTGCTGGACCAGTGGGGGATTTTTTTTTTTTTAACTCCAAATATGGTTCCTGAGATACATTTTGCTCTTGTTCTAAATGTGCCTGTGCCCAGGGGAAAAAAAGGGAAGGATTCTCTTTCTCCTCTTCTGTGTATAGGAAATATCAGCTCCATCTCCCACCCCATCCCAAGGACCTGCAACAGTAACACTAGAGAAACCGGGTTCCACTTCACATTTTATAACAATTCTCTGTTATCATTTGTATTTTCAACTAAAACCACAAGGCAGGAAATCATTTATGAAATCCTGGGACAAATTCTGCTCTACTAATGAAAGTATTGTAACACATTGTAGGTCCTACCAATAATAAGCATGATAAAATAATAGTAATAATAAAATGTTAAAAAAATAAATAAATAAAATAAAATAAAATGTCATCAGCTGATATTGATTAAGCATTGACTATGTGCCAAGTCCTATACTAGGATTTTTAAATATAATAACCCTCTTTTATCATCACAACAACCTTGTGAGCTTAAAAAAATCATTAATATATTAATACCCTTATTGTGGAGAAGAAAAACAAAAACTTACAGAGGTTACATTGCTGACCAAGTTTAGCTCGCCTGAGTTACTGGGGTTTCTTTAAAGCAGTTTTCTTGTCTAGTACTGAATTCTTAAGCTGTGGTCCATAGTGGGCCTTCTGAATTCTGAGTCTCCTGAAATGGTGTGCCAAATTCTGCATGTAGGTGTGAGACTAGTGGGAAGTTTCTAAGAAGAAAATCTGTAACTTTCATGATTTTCAGAGGGGTTTGTGGCCCAAAATAAAGTGAAGCCTTAGCTCTGTATTAATGCAAATCCAGAATGGAGCCTTGAAGCTCACTTTGACAATTACACCAAAGCCTTCCTTTATATAGCTGAGTCTATTTCAGACTACATTTTTTTTTACTTCAGATAATACAAGGTTCTGGTATCAGGAGGGGTGTCCCAGCACAGTTGGAGATGCCACTGATATTTATTTAGCAAAGGCCTCCTTTTCCTCTGACAGGCAACTCAGAATAGGAGCACTGAGCCATAGATGTCCCA